AGGTTTATGTTAATGGTGGTTCAGTCAGTAATATGTTTTGGACGTGCAATTGCAATGTGCTTTTTTAGGGGCACTAATAATTTTTGTTGTATTTAAAAAATGGGTCACGCTAACATGTACCTTAAGAGTACATGTAAAAGATACTATAATTAGAAATTTTAAATCCTATGGCATATCCTATGAAATATCCTCACCTTAAAAATGGGTATTTTTTTAAGAGTAAGTTAGATTATATACGTATATATATGTCATATCCTAGAGATTGACTAAAATTATGCTATTTTTAATGTTTTATCTGTCATTTTAAATCTTAATATAAATTCATATGTGTCTAGATTGTCTTCTCTCCATGGTTATTATTTCAATTCACCTTTTCGATCCAACGTAGGCGCATCGTTACTACACATCAACTGACGATTTTTTGGTTAGAGGTACACCTAGTTTCATTGTTCATTTTTTCTTCTTTTCTGCTCTGAGTTATAGTTTCAATGTGATTGAATAATTTCTCAGATCATATTGAGTTTCGACTCTATCCATTTCATTTCAAATAGTGTTTTAATTAATTATTTTTTATGTTTCTTTTAAAATTCTTGTGCTATAATTATAATTTCATGTTCCAATACTATGCCATTATTATTATTATTAAAAATGCTTAATTACAAAGCGATGACATCAATTTGAAAGTGACTGGTTTTCTTTCACTCGTATTTTTCCTTCTTTAAGAAAATACAATGAATAGTTAAATAGGTTTTACTATATTTCTTTTTAATTAAATTAATTAATATTTACACAAATGATGATTTGTATTATTACGGTTAGAAATTACAACCAAATGTAATTAATCAATGCATGAAATAGGAACGAACACTTGGTTTAACCCCCCATGCCAACATGTGTGGTCAAACTATTTATCATGATAACTATGAAGTCCCCTGTTCATCGGAAATGATTTGATGAAATGTATTTGTTTTGGTTTATATATATATATATATATATATATATATATATATATATATATATATATATATATATATATATATATATATAATATATATATATATATATATATATATATATATATATATATAATGTTAAATTCAAATGATTTAATATTATTTTTAATGAAAAAATCACGTGGTAGCATGAGTAGTGGGATTTATTTCTAAAAACATGCTGAGTAACTATTGATTATTTAAACAATCGACTTAAGGATCAAAATTAATAATGAAAAGATATTGGATATAAAGTGTAATTAGTAATTTTTTAATCGATTTCATTTTTCAAATCATGTTTTGTTATATTTTGCCTTTTAAATTTATTTTTTGTTTAAGTTGCAAGTATTATTATTTTATAATATTTTATTTTAAAAACTATTTTTGTTAATGAATATAACAATTTTTTAATTATTTCCTATTACAATTAAATGGAATTATTCTAACCATAAAAAATAAGTTTTGTGTTAACTCATGATATTATAGTAGTAGAAAGACGACCCTTAAAACTGCTGTGAAGATTTGAAATTATCTCTATTTTTCAAAAGAGTTAAAGAGGTCTATTTATTCTTTTTAGTACAAAGGAGGACTGATGGAAGACATGGAGTATTTGATGTATCTATCTTGAATTAATTCAATTAAGCCACTAATTTTAAAAATCAGTACACTTAAAAACAAGTGATCAACACTTAAATTTTTGTTTATCATATTTAAAATGCGTGTTGTGTTGTGTTGTGTTAAACACATAGTTAGTTGAATTAGTTTTAAGTTTAAATATGTAAGTTTTTTTTTTCCTATTTTTATTTATGTAATTTTTTATTTTATTTTTATTATCATAAACATTTATTATTTATTATTTTTTCTCTGTATAATCTTATGTATTAATTTTTGCCAACATCAATTTTATTAAAAATCAATTTTATTGAAACTAAAAAAACAAAAATAATAACTAAAATGCTAATGAGTGTTCTAAGACACTTTTAAAGCCTTAAAAAAAATTAAATTTTGTTTAAAAATATGCGTATTTAATATATTCAGAATTAAAATGGTAATTTTTTCATAGAAGTTTTTTTTATTTTAGAATTCTTAAAGAGTTAGCAAACTCAAATAATAAAAATAAATTAGTTTTGTTGTAAATACTAAAGTAAAAATAAAAAAATAGCATAAAAATTAACATTAAGTTATTGTGTATGTTTACGGTCTAATTGTATATTTTATTTTTATATATAATTTTTTAATAAAATTAAATTAACTGTATTTATTAGAGTGTTTTTTATAAGTTAAAGTTAATAAAGAGTGTAATCTTAACTATTACTAGTAGTCTAAATATTTTTTACTCTTATTATAAAATATCTTCTATATAAATATTTAGTTATATTAAATTTTCATATTTTATGACACTTTTTTAGTATTAGTTAGGGATTTATTTAAATCTATTTCATATCCACATGTAATTAATCATATTTTAATATATTTTCTTGAATTAATTTTTAAATATTATTTCATTAAATTTATACATTTATTCTAACTCGTATGTATGGGTCTATTATTTTTATGATTTTGTAATTTGTAATATCCACATGAGTCTGATGACATAAATGTTATTCATCATCGTAACTCATCTTAGTTGTCTCTTTGTCATCCTTTTGATTATTTATTAATTACCACACCTTCATGCAAACCTAGCAACTACTTCACTTTCTATCTCTTATATATCTTTTTAACTAAAACACAACCCTTCATTAATCCTCGTTACCCTCTCTTTATATACTATCCATTGGTTCTATTCTCATTACACAAACCAACCCATTTTTAATTTTTTGAACCTACCTTAACCTTAACAATGAGTTTCTACTCTTTAAGCTCTATATTATATCCTTCAAACGACTACAACTACATTGGAAATGAAAGTTGCATTGACTTTTAAACCGGCGATAATTTCCTCTCTAACCACTACGCCAAAAACGAGTTTTGGCACCGCTACATAGACAACGCTTATGCAAAAGCACTGCTGTAGGTATCCAAAAAAAAAAAACTTTAGACAGCGCTTATTAAAAGCGCTGCTATAGGCCTTATCAAAGGCAGCGCTTTTTCTCCCTAAGCGCTGCTATAGGGTTTTAAAAAAAATAAAAATTAAAAAATTAATAAAAGCGCTGCTAAAGGGTATGCTTTAGAAAGCGCTTTCAAAAAGCGCTGCTAAAGGTGTAAGTCTAAAAAGCGCTGCTAAAGGGGGGGGGGGGGGGGGGGGGGGGGGGGGGGGGTAAACCTAAAGCGCTGCTTTTGTGTAAATCTAAAAGCGCTGCTAAAGGGGGGGTACCTTTAGCAACGCTTCTTAAAAGCGCTGCCTTTGGTTTGTTAATTTATTTCTAAACCCCTAACCCCTAAATCAGATTTCCAGAAACACAAAATTAAACCCATATCGCTGTTCATCTTCTTCTCCATTCGTCTCCTCCCAAACTCCCCCTGTCTCACTCCATTACTCCCTTTGTTCCGTCATCTCTCAAACCCTCCTCTCAACCGCTTCATCTTCATCGTTACCAACCACCACCATCAATTGTAAACCGTCTCCATCCTTCATCCCTTCGTCGTCCTCTAACCATTACCCTCCGCCTCGCATCAACGGCACAATCACCAACACTAGCAGCCTCCTCCGTTGCATCACCTTCGAATCTTCGCCCCACGGCTAATTCATTTTTTCAATCCAAGTAAGTGTTTCTATCATTAAAGCCTGTGCTTCTGGATTCATTTTTTGGTGTGCATCGTGACTAGAGTGTTTAGTTGAATGTAGGTGATTTATGTGTTGAGATTTTCTGGATTCTATGAGTATTCTCTTCCTTCTTTCCATATTAAACCCAAAGAAATAAATGTCATGGTGATATAAGTGATTCTAAATCTTGTCAATTCGAGTTTCCATAGTACCTGAGTAACTAACCCAGCGTAAAGAGGCTTGGGAGTACGCTTCGGGTAGCAGATCAATAACTTATAGCCAAAGTGATGCAGGTGACGGGCAGCCACAAGACCATCACCACCGTTGTTACCAGGACCACATACAATAAGAACACGAATATACTCACCCGGTTTATAAACCTGTGAAAGAAAGAAAGAAAAAAAAAACTTAAGAAACTTTCATGATTGAGTTATAGTAGAGAAGGCCTATTTAGAACAACTTAACTGAACTTATCTATTGACATAAGCACTTATGAGAAATCCAATAGTTAATATAGGTTACAAAATCCATTAGTTGCAAAATAAAGCCAACTACATAGATATAATATAGTTCGATTAGCAACTAAATATTAGATCCCATTTCTGTTTTTCCTATGTGAAACAATTGAAAGAAGCCTTGAAACACCTTGAGTCCACAATTCATATTCTCTTTGATTTCTACATTCAAACTCAACTAAACCTCTTGATTCTGTCTTCAATCCAAAGTACCTTATTTTCTCACCATCCTCTAATAGATGCCTTCCCGGCCATGCTGCTAAATTCATGCACACATCTAACACAACATCTGAAATATTTTAAGAAAAACATTGTATTTAACCAAATGAGTTATGATTGGTTTCTATGAAGTTGAAAGGAAAATTAACTTATAGTATTAGTATATTGCTATAGCTCACTCTTTTTCTTTTTTGTAATTGTTCCTGCAACATGTCTGCTTTTCATTTTCAACATCACCTGGCCGGTTCGATGTATATAAACAGAAACTATTTTCCAGTGAAGATCACCTACAGATATAACCAAATAAAGTTTAATCTTTTAGTAAATGAAAATGTATCGAACTAGATTTGTTAAAACTACCTTTGCGGGGTGCGTTTGAGTAATTCAGTTCCTCGAGCAAGGAGTTCTTGACTGCAAGCACTTAGAAAATTATCTGCATTGATAATCTCTCCACCACTATCACTAGTGCTAGAACTACTGGTTAGTATTGGCTTTACCGCCGCATATTCCGATTCCTATGCTTTTTTTCTAGTGGTGTCACAACACTAATATTCCACATCTCTTTCAATGCTCTTGCCTTCAATGTTGCTGCGCCCCTTAGAGCTGCATATATCAAGAAAATACCACGTTGCGATATTTCAAGTAATGGTGCTGAATCTGAATGAATGATGAACAAAACTATACCTGTGGCAGCTGCATATCATGAAGAAATCTAAGCAGGGTGAGAGTTTAAGGCTCAATATAAAACGTTTACGTACGTTATCGTCATTTCAAATATGTATGCATGTTTGTTGCAACTTCATTGTTTTTGAAATTCCACAGGCAACCACTGATCAGACCAATGTCGATATCTTCATCTCTTTATTGTTTTGGTTTGAAAGATTGACAACAACCAGAACAGTTAAGAAATAAAATAATCGGTATGTATGTACGAGACAATATATGAGAGGTTATTTAAATTAAATTTATCTATGCTTCTGTTATGATGACTTGTGGGCTTATTCTCAGCAGTTTAGAGATTCTGAGTTGTAGGGTCTTGGATTTTCTCTTATTTTGTGATGCTTGGAAAAATTAGTAGTTGAATACATGAGTTGATTCTGAGTTGTAGAGTGATGAATTGGAGTGATGTTTTGATTGTTAACAATTATGTGATTATATTATTATATAAATATTTTAATATACTTCACTTTTTTATATGTTATATTATTCTACCATTCAAATGTTTGTTTTCTATTTTTATTTTCAATAATCACTTCAAAATTAGTAGGATGATTTAAAAAATGCCTCATTTGTTAATCCTTTCAAATGCTTTAGGCCATTCCTTAAAAAATCTTTCCAACGAGGAAATTAATATGAAAAAGTGGTGGTTAAGGTGATATATATGAGTGCCAATTTGATCATCTGATTGTTGTACTGAGGTAGATACAAGCCTGATATGGGTACTCTTCATTTGTGGAAATGTTATTATGTTCGTCTGCAATGCTTGGATCCGGAGTGTCGTATCAGTAGGCTTCGCAGAGTTAGCTTGGTGATCGGTGGTCTGTTGTGGGATCTACATGTAATCCAGTTCTTGAGCTTTGGCTGCTTGCAGTTCTGTTTCGGGGGTATCGATCGGGGTAAATTGGCGGTTGGGCATCTCTATTCGGCAGCATTGTGAAAGTATTCAGAGTGCTGTTATGTGTTTTTTGTTTTTGATGATATGCTTTTCTGTCTAGCTGCGGGTACGTGGTTAAGGTGACATTTGCAGTGTTTGGTTGCTAACTGCTGGTATAAGGTGGTTTTTGTATCTGTATTAATTATTGTCATCAGTTTGAATAGACTATTGTTTCATTTTTTCCATTTTCTATCAGGTGGAACAATATTGTTCTGGTTTGTATTATTTTTAAGCATTCATGATGCCTTAGTTAATTATAGATTCTTTTTTGCCCTTTCAAAAATAAAATATTAATTCTGAGCCTTGAAGTTGGCTTTCTATTTGGTCAAATTACTGGTGATATTGAAGCTGTAAAGAATTCTTTGCGGCAGCTCTAGTAAACCAAAAGGAGAAGGCCCCCCAATCCAGCACTAAAAGTGATGTCAACACTCACAAAAATACTTACTGCACAGAATTGTTTTGATAATACTTGGCCATTGTTGTAGATGTACTGCTCTTGATAATAAGCAATGTATTATTAGTTCTTTAAGGAATCTTCTAATTCCATGATGATTCAATGTATTATTTAATTTAAGATTTATTTGTCACTTCCTTTTGTTAATTTAATTTTGTATATTATTTTAATCACATACAAAAGCGCTGTCTAAAGGGGGGGGTAATAGACAGCGCTTTTCATGAAAGCGCTGTCTAAAGTGATTGAAAAAAAAAATTAAAAAAAAATGAGGAAAAGCGCTGCTAAATGGGGGGTAATAGACAGCGCTTTTCATGAAAGCGCTGTCTAAAGTGATTGAAAAAAAATTTAAAAAAAAATGAGGAAAAGCGCTACTAAAGGGGGGGGACAACGCTTTTCATGAAAAGCGCTGTCTAAAGTGATTGAAAAAAAATTTAAAAAAAAAATGAGGAAAAGCGCTGCTAAAGGGGGGTAATAGACAACACTTTTACCAAGCGCTGTCTAAAGTGATTGAAAAAAAAAGCGTTGTCTATACCTTTAGCAGCGGAGGTTTTAGCAGCGCTTTTAAGCGCTGTTAAAGGCCTAAAAAAGCGTTGTCTAATCCCTTGTTTGGCATAGTGAACATTAATCATAAGTCTCTAGCTTCCAATAAAAAGAAGATGAAAAGCCCTATTAGAAATAGGGTGAAGAAGAGAAACTTTCCTCCTCATATACCTTACCTAGCTCAAACTCAAAACCTTGCTTCTCACATGTCGTATATGTTGATAAGATACTACACTGACGAGGGAAGGTTGATCATCAAGGAAGAGAAAGTGAAACATCATGAGTATTTTCATGCACACAGAGAGAATGATAGAATCACCTTGCAACTTGTTCCACTTGATCACGATGATGACGACGACTATTTCATGGACGCATATGAGCAAGACGAAGAAGTAGAAGCCGAAGAAGATGATGAGATTAACAATGTTAATATGGATGATGATTTTGAAGAAGAAAATATGGGCAACACTCAAAAGAATATTGCTTTTAATGACGATGATGATGAGGTTATTGTGGAAAATGAGAATGAGATAGTTGGGGGTGCAAATAGTAAATGAAATTATTTGAACTGCAACAACAACGTTATATCTTCGTCTCCTTTTGGAATATTTGGGGTACTTCCTGTCCAACCTATAATAACAGTTTGTGGTTGATTATTGAAGTGTGATGTGTTCAGTTTGTTACTTGTTAGTTGCATGCAATTTATTAAGCTTTCTAGACTCTTTAATGGCTAAGCATTATTGTTGTTCTTGTTCTTCGAAATAATATTGTGTTTCTTTTGCAGTTTTGATGTTATCTTCATAACATTTGAATTTGAATATTTTGAATATCATGTATAGTTTTATATACAATAATTGCAATGCTTCAAGTATGGTTTTAAATTTCTAATTTAGATTTCTCTTAGGCTGAAATTTTTTATAATTTGCACCAAAATATAAGAGAATGATGTTGAATGTATGGGTGCAATGTCATTGTTGAGATTGTAGTTTTATATTATAGTTGTGAGGATGATGTTGTGATTGCAGTGATTGCCATGTCACTATATGATTTACTCTTTCTCAACAGAATCTCCAACTTCTATGTATGAATGTCACTATCAACTCAAATATTTTAATTTATTAGCAATTTAAAAATGTAAAATATTTTGCACTTAGTTTTATTATTGAGAAGGTTTATGTTAATGGAGGTTCAGTCAGAAATATGTTTTGGACATGTAATTGTAGTATGTCTTTTTAGGGGCAATGATAATTTTTGTTGTATTTAAAAAATGGGTAACGCTAACATGTTCCTTAAGAGTATATATTAAAGATACTATAATTATAAATTTTAAATCTTATGACATATTCCATGACATATCTTCACCTTAAAAACGAGTATTTTTTACGAGTAAGTTACATTATCTACGTATACCGCTGTCATATCCTAGAGGTTGACTCAAATGATGCTATTTTTAATGTTTTATCTGTCATTTTAACTCTTAATATAAATCTATTTGTGTCTAGATTGTCTTCTCTCCAAGGTTATTATTTCAATTCACCTCTTCGATCCAACATAGGCACATCGTTACTACACATCAAACCATGATTTTTTTGTTAGAGGTACACTTAGTTTCATTGTTCATTTTTGTTATTTTCTCCTCTGAATTGTTATAGTTTCAATGTGATTAAATAATTTCTCAAATCATATTGAGTTTCGACTCTATCCATTTTATTTCGAATAGTGTTTTAATTAACTATTGTTGATGTTTCTTTGAAAATTTCTTGTGCTATAGTTATAATTTAATGTTCCAATACTATGCCATTATTATTATTATTATTATTATTATTATTATTATTATTATTATTATTATTATTATTATTATTATTATTATTATTATTATTATTATTATTATTATTATTATTATTATTATTATTATTATTATTATTATTATTATTATTATTATTATTAATAATAAAAATGCTTAGTTACAAAGCGATGACATCAATTTATAATATTTTCTTCGTTGAAAGTGACTCGTTTTCCTTCACTCGTATTTTTCTTTCTTTAAGAAAATACAATGAATAATTAAATTGATTTTACTATTTTTCTTTTAAATTAAATTCATTCATGTTTACACAAATGATGATTTATATTATTGCAGCTAGAAATTACAAACAAGTGGAATTAATCAATGCATAAAATAGGAACAAACACTTGGTTTAACCCCTCTGCCAACGTGTGTGGTCAAATCGTTTATCATGATAACTATGAAATTTCTTGTTCATCGAAAATGATTTGATGTATATATTGGATATAGAGTGTAATTAATAATTTTTTAATTGATTTCATTTTTCAAATCATGTCTCGTTATTTTTTCCCTATTAAATTTATTTTATGTTTAAGTTGCAAGTATTATTATATTATATATATTTTATTTCCAAAACTATTTTTGTTAATGAATATAACAAATTTTTAGTTATTTCCTTTTACAATTAAATGGAATTATTCTAACCATAAAAAATAAGTTTTGTGTTAATTCATAATACTATAGTTATAGAAAAAAGATCTTTAAAACTGCTGTGAAGATTTGAAATTATCTCTATTTTTCAAAATAATTAAAGTGGTCTATTTATTCTTTTTATTACAAAGGAAGACTGATGGAAGATATGTATATAATATATATTTGATGTATCAATCTTAAATTAATTCAATTAAGTCACTAATTTTAAAAATTAGTACATTTAAAAACAAGTGATCAACACTTCAATTTTTTGTTTATCATATTTAAAATGCGTGCTGTGTTGTGTTAAACAAATAATTAGTTGAATTAGTTTTAAGTTTAAATGTGTAAGTTTTTTTTCTTTCTATTTTAGTTATGTATATTTTTATTTTATTTTAATTATCATAAACATTTATTGTTTATTATTTTATTTTTCTGTATAATCTTATGTATTAATTTTTGCCAAAATCAATTTTATTAAAAATCAATTTTATTGGAACTAAAACAAACAAAAATAATAACTGAAATGCTAATGAGTGTTCTAAGACACTTTTAAAGCCTTTAAAATTTTTTATTTATTTTTAAATATGCGTATTTAATTTATTTAGAATTAAAATTGTAATTTTTTCATAGAAGTTTTTTTATTTAGAATTCTTAAAGAGTTTGCAAAACTCAGATAATGAAAATAAATTAGTTTTGTTGTAAATACTAAAGTAAAATAAAAAATAGGATACAAAATAACATTAAATTATTGTGTGTTTTTAGAGTCTAATTGTATATTTTATTTTTATTTATAATTTTTTAATAAAATTAAATTAACTTTATTTATTAGAGTGTTTTTATAAGTTAAAGTTAATAAAGAGTGTGACCTTAACTATTATTAGTAGTCTAAATATTTTTTACCCTTATTATAAAATATCTTCTATATAAATATTAAGTTATCTTTAATTTTCATATTTTATGACACTTTTTTAGTATTAATTAGGGATTTATTTAAATTTATTTCATATATCCACGTGTAATTAATCACATTTTAATATATTTTCTTGAATTAATTTTTAAATATTATTAAATTAAATTTATTCATTTATTCTATCTCGTATGTATGTGTCTATTATTTTTTTCATTTTGAAATTTGTAATGTACATAGGATCCTGATGATATGAATATTATTCATCCTCATAACTCATCTTAGTTGTCTCTTTATCATCTTTTTGATTCTCTATTAATTGTCACACCTTCACGAAAACCTAACCACTACTTCACTTTCTATCTTTGCTATATCTCCTTAACCAAAACACAACCCTTCATTATTACTTATTACCCCCTCTTTATATACTATCAATTGATTCCATTCTCATTACACAAACCAACCCATTTTTCATCATTTGAACCTACCTTAACCTTAACAATGAGTTTCCACTCTTTCAGCTCTATATTATACCCTTCAAACGACTACAACTACATTGGTAATTAAAGTTGCATTGAACTTCAAACCAACGTCAATTTCCTCTTTAATATTAATCATAAGTCTCTAGCTTCTTCCAATAAAAATAAGATGATAAGCCTTATTAGAAATAGGGAGAAGAAGATAGAGTTTCCTCCTCATATACCTTGCCTAGCTCAAACTCAAAATCTTGCTTCTCACGTGTCGTATGTGTTGAAAAGATACTACACTGACGAGGGATGGTTGATCATCAAGGAACAGAAAGTGAAACATCATGAGTATTTTAATGCACACAGAGAGAATGGTAGACTCACCTAGTATCTTGTTCCACTTGGTCACGATGATGACGACGACTATTTCATGGACGCAGATGAGCAAGTTGAAAAAGTAAAAGAAGAAGAAGAAGAAGAGGAGATTAACAATGTTACTATGGATAATGATTTTGAAGAAGAAAATATGGGCAACACTCAAGAGAATGTTGTTGTTAATGATGATGATGATGATGAGGTTGTTGTGGAAAATGAGAATGAGATAGTTGGGGGTGCAAATAGTAAAGGAAATTATTTGAACTGCAAAAACATTATTCTATCTTCGTCTTCTTCTGGAATATTTAGGGTACTTCCTGTGTAACTTATAACAACAGTTCGTGGTTGATTATTTAATTGTGTTGTATTCAGTTTGTTTCTTGTTAGTTGTATGCAATTTGTTAAGCTTTCTAGACTCTTTAATGGCTAAGGATCGTAGTAGTTCTTGTTCTTCGAAATAATGTTGTGTTTCTTTTGCAGTTTTGTTGTTATCTTCATAACATTTGAATTTGAATACTTTAAATATTATGTATAGTTTTATATACAACCATTGCAATGTTTAAAGTATGGTTTTTAATTTCAAATTCTGATTTCTCTTAGGATGGAAATTTTTATAATTTGCAGCAAAATATAAGAGAATGATGTAGAATGTATGGGTGCAATGTCATTGTTGAGATCGTAGTTTTATAATATAGTTGTGAAGATGATGTTGTTCTTGCAGTGATTTCCGTGTAACTATATGATTTACTCTCTCTCAAGAGAACCTTCATTTTCTATGTATGAATGTCACTATCAACTCAAATATTTTATTTAATTAGCAATTTAAAAATGTACAATATTTTTCACTTAGGTTTATTATGGGGAAGGTTTATGTTAATGGTGGTTCAGTCAGAAATTTGTTTTGGACGTGTAATTGCAGTATATTTTTTTAAGGGCAATAATAATTTTTGTTGTATTTAAAAAATGGGTCACCCTAACATATGCATTAAGAGTACATGTTAAAGATACTATAATTAAAAATTTGAAATCCTATGACATATCCTCACCTTGAAAACAAGTATTTTTTTTACAAGTAAGGTATATTATCTACGTATACCGTTGTCATATCCTAGAGATTGACTCAAATTATGCAATTTTAATATTTTATTTGTAATTTTAACTCTTAATATAAATCCATATGTGTCTAGATTGCCTTCTCTCTATAGTTATTATTTTAATTCACCTCTTCGATCCAACATAGGCACATCGTTACTACACATCAAACCACGAGTTTTTGGTTAGAGGTACACTTAGTTTCATTGTTCAGTTTCGTTCTTTTCTCCTTTGAATTGTTATAGTTTCAATGTTATTGAATAATTTCTCAAATCATATTGAGTTTCAACTCTATCTATTTCATTTCGAATAGTGTTTTAATTAATTATTTTTGATGTTTCTTTGAAAATTTCTTGTGCTATAGTTATAATTTCATGTTCCAACACTATGTCATTATTATTATTATTATTATTATTAAAAATGCTTAGTTACAAAGCGATGACATCGATTTGTGATATTTTCTTCGTTGAATGTGACTTGTTTTCCTCCATACGTATTTTTCCTTCTTTAAGAAAATACAATGAATAATTAAATTGATTTTATTATTTTTCTTTTAAATTAAACTCATTCATGTTTACACAAATAATGATTTGTATTATTACACCTAGAAATTACAGTCAAGTGGAATTAACCGATGCATGAAATAGGAACGAACACTTGGTTTAACCCCTCTGCCAACGTGTGTGATCATACTGTTTATCATGATAACTATAAAGTCCTCTATTCATCGGAAATGATTTGATGAACTATATTTGTTTTGGTTTATATATATATATATATATATATATATATATATATATATATATATATATATATATATATATATATATATATATATATATATATATATATATATATATATATATATATATATATATATATATATATATATATATATAATGTTAATTTCAAATAATTTAGAATTGTTTTAAAAATCACGCGTTAGCATGAGTAGTGAGATTTATCTCTAAAAACACCTTGAATAACTATTGATTTTTTAAACAATCGACTTAAGGATCAAAATTACTAATGAAAAGACATTTGATATAAAGTGTAATTAGTAATTTTTTAATCGATTTTATTTTTCAAATCATGTCTTGTCATTTTTGCCCTATTAATTTTATTTTTTGTTTAAGTTGCATGTATTATTATTTTATAATTTTTTTATTTCTAAAACTATTTTTGTTAATGAATATAACAATTTTTTAGTTATTTCCTTTTACAATTAAATGGAATTATTCTAACCATAAAAAATATGTTTTGTGTTAATTCATGATATACTATAGTAGTAGAAAGACGATCCTTAAAACTGCTGTGAAGATTTGAAATTATCTCTATTTTTCAAAATAATTAAAGAGGTCTATTTATTCTTTTTAGTACAAAGGAGGACTGATGGAAGATATGTATATAATATATATTTGATGTATCAATCTTAAATTAATTCAATTAAGTCACTAATTTTAAAAATAGTACATTTAAGAACAACTGATCAACACTTCAATTTTTTGTTTATCATATTTAAAATACGTGTTGTGTTGTGTTAAACAAATAATTAGTTGAATTAGTTTTAAAATGTGTAAGTTTTTTTTCTATTTTAGTTATGTATATTTTATTGTATTTTAATTATCATAAACTTTTATTATTTATTATTTTATTTTTCTGTATAATCTTATGTATTAATTTTTGCCAACATCAATTTTATTAAAAATCAATTTTATTGGAACTAAAACAAACAAAAAAATAATTACTGAAAATCTAATGAGTGTTCTAAGACACTTTTAAAGCCTTTAAAAGATTTTTTTTTTAAATATGCGTATTTAATGTATTTAGAATTAAAATTGTAATTTTTTTTATAGAAGTTTTTTTTATTTAGAATTCTTAAAGAGTTAGCAAAACTCAAATAATGAAAATAAATTAGTTTAGTTGTAAATACTAAAGTAAATTAAAAAATAGCATAAAAACTAACATTAAATTATTGTGTATTTTTAGGGTCTAATTGTATATTTTATTTTTATTTATAATTTTTTAATAAAATTAAATTAACTGTATTTATTAGACTGTTTTTATAAGTTAAAGTTAATAAAGAGTGTGACCTTAATTATTACTAGTAGTCTAAATATTTTTTACTCTTATTATAAAATATCTTCTATATAAATATTAAGTGATCTTTAATTTTCATATTTTATGACACTTTTTTAGTATTAGTTAGAGATTTATTTAAATTTATTTCATATCCACATGTAATTAATTACATTTAAATATATTTTTTTGAATTGATTTTTAAATATTATTTTATTAAATTTATTCATTCATTTTACCTCGTATGTTATTGTCTATTTTTTTATTTCATTTTGAAATTTGTAATGTGTTTAGGAGCCTGATGATATGAATATTATTCATCTTCATAACTCATCTTAGTTGTCTTTTTGTCATCTTTTTGATTCTCTATTAATTGCCACACCTTCACGAAAACCTAGCCACTACTTCATTTTCTATCTTTTCTATATCTTCTTAACCAAAACACAACCTTTCATTATTACTCATTACCCCCTCTTTATATACTATCCATTGATTCCATTGTCATCACACAAACCAACCCATTTTTCATTATTTGAACCTACCTTAACCTTAACAATGAGTTTCCACTCTTTCAGCTTTATATTATACCCTTCAAACGACTATAACTACATTGGTAATGAAAGTTGCATTGAACTTAAAACCGACGATAATTTCCTCTCTAACATTAATCATAAGTCTCTAGCTTCTTCCAATAAAAAGAAGATGAGAAGTCCTATTAAAAATAGGTAGAAGAAGAGAGAGTTTCCTCCTCCTATACCTTGCGTAGCTCAAACTCACAACCTTGCTTCTCACATGTCGTATGTGTTGAAAAGATACTACACTGATGAGGGAAGGTTGATCATCAAGGAGCAGAAAGTGAAACATCATGAGTATTTTCATACACACAAAGAGAATGGTAGACTCATCTTGCAGCTTGTTCCACTTGTCACGATAATGACGACGATTATTTCATGGACGCAGATGAGCAAGACAAAAAAGTAAAAGAAGAAGAAGAAGAAGAGGAGATTAACAATGTTACTATGGATGATGATTTTGAAGAAGAAAATATGGGCAACACTCAAGAGAATGTTGTTGTTAATGATGATGATGAGGCTTTTGTAGAAAATGAGAATGAGAAAGTTGGGGGTGCAAATACTAAAGGAAATTAATTGAACTGCAACAACAATGTTCTATCTTCGTCTCCTTCTGAAATATTTGGGGTACTTCCTGTGCAACCTATAAGAATAGTTTGTGGTTGATTATTGAAGTATTTTGTGTATTGTACCCCAATCTTTGCCCCTAAGATCCCCTTACCATACCATATTAAATCAATCACAACAAGATCACATTAGGGCTTTTGGTTCTCCTTCCTATCTTTAGCTTTGCTTTTTGAGGAATCATCAAGCACCTTGACTTGTTTTTCTTGTGTAATCATTCATGTTTTTGTTTTGACTTTCCTTTTAATTAATAAAATGCAATGTTGGTTTGTCTTACTTGTCAACAATGCAGGTAAAGGCAATGGGGTTTAGCAAGTTGATCTATGGGTTCATGAGTTTATTTCCATGACCTAGTTAATGAAGCTTGAGAAGTTCAAAACTCACCATGGAAGTTGTTTTGGAAGGGATGACATGGAAAGGTTATTTTGGTTCACTACATTTCAAAATTATCAAGGTTGGTTCAAAAGTACAAGGGGTTGATTGAAGGAGTTGTCATGATTGGACAAGGTCTTGTTCCCATTGGTCACAAGTGCATATTTCTATATTATCAAGATATGGAAGTGGTTGTGGTTGCTATGAGTTCTCATTATCAGCCTCAACAACTTATATTTACAAAACATTTATTTTGGTACAAGAAGTTTGTTCAAAATTGTCAAAGTTCCTCAAGACATGTTTCTTAATCTAGGAGATAGGGTTTTGAACTTCAAAGGAGTATATCTTGCCTATCTTTTGGTATTTTTGAGTGATTCCAAAGACATCCTTATCTTCAAAGGGATATCAACAAATCACTTCAAAAGTTCCAAGGAGTTTTCATGTGGAAGAAACTTGATGATAAAGAAAGATTACAAGTCCTCTAGATGAACCCCAAATTTCTCAAGTTTGACTTCAAATGATCATAGCTTGGTCAATTTTTATCACCTTGAGCCCATTCATTTTTCATAATTATCTTGAAGATGTGAACTATATGCCTTCTTTTATGTGCAAAGTGAGAAAATGGATGGAAGTTGCCTTAAGGATACTAAAGATTATAGGTTATTTTATGAAATTTTTCCAACTTCAACAAGTCATAACTTTCTAAATTTTTGGATATTCTGAATGGTTCAAGTTTCAAAATGTCAATCAAAAGATCTACTTCAAGCCATCTTTTTTGGTCAAGAGCAAATTCCAAGTGGTAGGCTATGTTTGGATGCAAGACATTATAGGTCACTTTTGAAGAAAAATTTGAAATATTTCTAAGTATGGAAAGTCAACCCTTTTTCCTCAACTTTGACTCAACACAACTTTCAGCTCAAGCATCCATTTGATTACATTCTTTTTTCATTGCAAAGCTTGAAACCTCACCTTTCTAAAGCATCAAGAATCATGACCTAAGACCCCTTGAGTTGAAAATGCCTTTGGTCAAAATTTGGCACTTTGAAACTGAATTTCTCACCAAGTCAGAATTTTGAAATCCATAATGTGGCCTCTAATAACAAGTTTTCCACGTGTTTTTGCCTCTAAACATGTTTAGTGAAGTTCCAGATTTGTTTAGCACCTCAAAACGCAAGGATTGGATGAATTTTAGTGAAAATTAGATCACACTTCACCCGTGCATCAAGTTTGCACGAATTCCCTCCAAAATGCATCATTCACTCTTCCTTTTGATCCCATTTGCTTCTCCTATAAATGCATGAACTATCCCGTTCGTTTTCTCAAGCTTGGATAGCCAGAATCACCCTACCAAACTTATTCCCTAACTGAGAATTCAGCAACTTCGAAATCCATTCTCAAGCCTTTTTCAATCCAATTTTTTCATCAATTCACCTTCCTTGATCTTCCCTGAAGCTAATCATATACTTAAATTCAAGAATCATGCCCTATATTGCTCCATAGAAGTTTAGTTTCAGAGCTCTGCAACTCAACTTCAATAGGTAGATTCCTTCATCAATTCTTCAAAAATTTTATATCATTGTGATGCTCTCATTGCCCTGGTTCTAGTTGCAACACTTGCTTTTTACTGGAAACACGTTTTGACCATGAAATTGCAAATCCCTTTTCAAAATTTTCTTTCTAAATTGCTTGAGCTACAATTTATATAAATTTGGCGTGAGGGTGTGGTTATCTTCGTCTTGAAGAGACGAAGCGAATGACATAGGTATGAGCTTCTGATTTTACAGTTTGAGAGACCTGCAATTCACGTTGCCTGGAGGTTGAAGATGACCAACGTGTCAACTTCCAACCAATGATGGCACGTCACTTGTTATTTTTGAATTCTGATTTTATTTCTGATTCAGTGCTTTATTCACTAATGACCATGATATGCACAGCGCGCCAGATCCCTTGGATTTGATTACTAACGCGTTTTGACTCTCATCCAATGGTCCACATATTTTTGACTTTTATTTTCTTTTTTGATTTTTTATATTTAATTATTTTAAACTTCAAAAATTATAGAAAATTCATTTTAAGTCAAAAAAATCTGAAAAATTTATGAAAAATATTTTTGATTATTCTCTTTCTGATTTTTATTTTTTCACAATTTAATTTTGTGTTTTGGTATTTTTTATAAATTTACACTTTATTGGAATTGTTTTAAATGTTTAAAAATACTTTTATGTATTTTTATATTCTGAAAAAATTATGGAATGATCCAATGATATTGTGACAAATATTGGTGACCTTATTTTATTTTTGTTTCTGACTTTGCTATCTTTTTTTTTTGTCATTTTTTGGTTTATTTCACCCATTTCTTTAAATTTTAAAATAGTTTCTGACTTTAAAAAATTACCAAAAAAATTATAAAATTATTTTAGTTCATTTCTAATTTTTCTATAGTCTTACTTTTTATTTCCTGATTAATTTGAACATATTTGACATTTTTTCTCTTTTATTTCTATTTTTAAACCTTTTTGTATATATTAAAATGTAATATTATTTTGTGATTATTTTCTGGCTGATCTTGGGTTAAATTTTTGATCATGAACTTTATTAACATAATTGAATCCATGGTCTTGAGTCTAACTCCATAAAAATGGATGAGTGATTTTAATAATAGTTTGATTAAATTTAATCCAAAAGTGGTTTGTATATTCTCTCCCATCCCTCTTCATCTCATCCCCTTCTTATTGCACTAAATATTGTTGGAGCATGATCTCTATATTATATCTCAAAATAAATGGTGCATAGATTGCTATTGACCGACCTCAAAATAGGTGCGACTTTTATATAAGTCCACTTACGATTTCTTAACATAGCGCTAAATTTTGTTCCGATTCGAATAAATGATCATTCGTGGCCCAAACTTATGTTTGCAAACCCAAGTATGTTAATTTGATATCTTTGATCCAATAACTTTGAGGTTCATTGTGTGGAGGCTTTGGTTCTACCAATCCACTAATGGATCTACAACATATTTGGTCAACGCGGATCACTTAAACATTGTTGATCATTAAATGATACTCATAAGGATTCCAAATGGATGATATACTTGACAAAAAGCAAATTCAACTTGTTGTGTGGAGGCTTTGGTTCTACCAATCCTCTAATGAGTTCCAAATGCAAGTTTCAATATGATCATCCAACTAACCACTAATCACTAATAATTGATTTTATTTTGTGTTTTTATTTTATGTTCTTTACATTATGCACCATTTACTTTTAGCATTTACATTTCATGCTATTTTTCATCTTTTGTCACTTGAGCCCCTTTATATTCTTATCATTTTTTATTTTGTTCACTTGAGCTTTTCTTTTCTTTTAAAGACACCTAATAATCAACATAAACCCTAAAAATCTTTAATGATACTTGGACTATTTGGTTACTATCCTTGGCATTATGGAGCATTGGACTTTTTGGACTTAGGATTAGAAACCTTGGCCTATGAGTGGAGACCTTGTGATCTTATATGACTATTTTGTCTGGAGCTCTTGAGGTTTACTTCAATACATTAGGTTATTTTTTTTGTTTTGTGTACAGGTTATTGTGATTACACCCTTTGTTTGTAATCTGGAATTCACCCGTATACAACCGTTACTCTGCCCAATTTTTGTGAAGACTTAATACACTTGAAGTTTGGTTCTCTCAAGAGGTCTAGTATCTTTGCTTGCTTGGTTTCAATCCAAAGAATGGGAATTCTATATTGACTCATAATGTCAAGTATTGGCTTCTTATTGTTTAGATGGTTCTTCTCCTTATCTTTTACCTTATGCTTTAGGATAGTCCCTTCATCTCCTCCCATCTTCTTTAATTTCAAAAATTTTCTTCCTCCCTTTGAAAACTCTTATTGTTTTTAAACTTGAACCACTTTCATAATAAACTTGGACTTATGTCCATGAATTTTCAAAACATTTTCATAAATAAAATTCAATCAATTTAATAATACCTTGACATTTTTTGTGAGAAGACTAAAAGTCAATAAATCTCATTTCAAACCATTTTGCCACTTTGGCTTTTCTCTTTAAACTTTTCTCAAAAGATTGGACTCTTGTCAATCCTTGTAGTGATGCAAACAACTATACTTCTACAATATGTAGTGAAAAGAGATGTTTTCCCCTTGGGTGTTGAGTGAGGCATTGTTGATTTTAAAATCCAAGCCATATCCTCCACTTTGAGATGATGCAAATTCTCCTTTCTCATGATTATGGGTAGTAAGTATGTTTTCCACACGGATAATGACGATGATGTATTATCTCATAAAATTAACCAACACACTTGTGTTTTAAGTTTTTTAAAAGAGGAACTACGTGTACCCTGATCCCCTATTGCACGAAAGGTGGTATGTAGGCACTAAAGGTTCGCAACCACGGCGGGTGCAAAAATCATAAAAAATATATTTCTTTTTCTCACCTTCACCATCTATTTTACATACAACATTTTTATAGCCAAAATTAACAGATTTTTCAAAGAGGTTCCTGCGGAGTACCGTAGATGTTTAGGGTGCTAATATCTTCCCTTTGCATAACCAACCCCCTTACCTTGAATCTTTCCCTCTCTTTTTTGGTTACTCGCTCTTTTTTCATTCCTTGGAAACAATAAAGCGCGTTGGTGATTTTTATTTTGATTT